TCTACCAATGTTACTGCTTTGACAGATACATGCAAATTTATAGACACAGTTGATGGTAACATAAAAAGGATACCTGTCGACCTTTGATTATGTTAAAGAATTTGTTGTTTTGAACAGGACAATCAGTTTAGCTGCAAGATAAATTCTTATCAATGCAGTTTTTAGTCTCATATTAATTGATCGTGTGACATCATCATCATTGAATTTAAGTTAAACAAAAATAGGTTTTTTTATTTGTTGTAGTTTCTTTGAGTTTTTTTTTAATCTTTACATTTTTCATATTTCTTAACATATTTCAGTGGATACATATTTTCATCTTTAATCACTCTTTTATATATAAGTATGTCAATAACGTTGATTTTCAGATATTTTCGATTGTAAGCAGCTAATAAGCACCTAATGAAATAAAATAAAATGCATTATCTTCACCAATCTTCATTCTTGCTCATTTAGTAAGAATTTTGTTGACTGAATTTCTCATGTAATATGAGACTAAAGGTTAATTTATCTTTTTTTTTAACATAATTCGGTATCTGTTTAAGTAAATTATTTTTTTTTAAAAAAAATAAACAATATTTATATGACAAAAATAGTGAGTAAAATTGAAATTGGGTAGGTAATTGAAATAATAAACACTAAGAATATTTATAATGAACATTGATGATATCTGAAACCATGTATAGAAGGCTTTTAATTAGAATTATAATTTTGTATTGTATTCTAGTTATTTGTACATCATTAAACATATATTAAGTAAACTAATATAATTTGGATGGGTTTTGTGGATATTATAGTAATTTCAGTGGTTAAGATCATGAATCCTGGTGGTCTAGCTTCAATTGACTCATGATCTTAACCATTGAAATTCATATAAATTACATTAATAATAAATGTATCATATAAATTTTAGGCTTCTCTGTACTGAACTTAATTTTGGACTTTATTTTAAATTACGAAACATTTTTTTTGCTCTGGAACTATAGAAGGTTGAATGTAGGCGATAATTTTTATTTCAATATTATAAACATGATATGAATAGTGATTTTTTTATCGACATATTTTTTCTTTACTTTAAAAGAGACAAAATTAATACTTGATAATAGTGGTTTGTGATAACATGTAAAATATACACTATGTGAAAGTTGTTAATCAGTTGTATACTTTCAAAGATATAAACTTTAAAAATCGTTTAGTGAGATCTTATATAGGACTGTGGGTGGTCACTGCTAATTACTTGTAATTTGGAGCAATACTGTAGCTGTTGCAATTTTGAGAATTCTTATTTGAATGTAGTAGATATAGAAATATATTCTGGATTCTATTTAAGCTTCTTTTCACTTTCTGTACATTGGCAGTGCTTATGATGTCAACATGTAACTACAGCAGAAGATAACAAAATACTATTGTCTGATGGTATTTGCAGTATTATTTAATCACTAGTATAAACAAAAAATATACAAAAGTTCTTAACAGTATTGGTTCGACGGTATATATTTAACAAATGTTCCAAATAACTTGTAAAATTTGTGATTCAACGAATAGGTAGAAAAAATTTAACTAATTATCAAAGAGGTAAGCATTCATGACTAACAAAAATCTTTGTTCTCTCTACAAATAATTCAACCAGATCAAATATAAATGGTACAACAATTCAAAATTAATATGATTTAACCCTAAATCTTACAGCTAGGTAAAATAAAATCTAGTTAAAGATTTTACAATAGCAGAAATATGACTGAAAAGTTAAAGTAATTTTGCGGATGTAAACAGATTCATAAAAATTGACTCCAATCGTGAAGTAGGTCTTAACTTTCGGAATATATAATCTTTGTAAACTTCCAAACAGTTTGATGAATATCGGTTCGTAAAATTATTCAAATATCTTAAAACGAAATTAGTCATTTTAATCAATTAGTGAAACAAGTATTGCGCGTATTAGTTAATAGTTATCTTCCTTTACATGGTATTGTCATTTAACTTTTCGGCTGAATACTTGATTGTTGCTAAGCATACGATGTCTGACTAGTTATTAGCTATATATCCTGACAAAGAACTATAATTATTTGTTCTTCTCCACCGATCGTTTCTGTTCAGTTTCCATATTTAACTTGACATCATGGCAAATGTATATGGCATTAACTGGGATGTAGTGGACAGCTGTCTTGTCCTAGTAAGGTATTACTTAGCAGTTCGCATCACTGATTGAACTCAAATCCAGGAATTTCAGTCTGACCTCTAGACCACTGAACCGACTTCCAAAGGTGTTAATGTCTAACTCCAACCAATCCACAATCTTGTGTACTTCTAAGGAGTCCTATAGTAAGACGGAATGACATTTTTGTCCTCCCCGGTTTTCAGTAGTGGTCTAATATAAGTCGGTTCATGATCTCAATGAAACTCAATAATCTCCACAACCTTATACTGATAATATAAGGGGTAATTTAAATTAACATAATTTTTTGATTCTACAAATTCAAATCTCTCCATTATTGTTGCTGAGGGCTGTAATTAATCATTCTCTTTGGGTATTATTGTATCCCAATAGAACTGCCTCGATATTGACATCAGTCACAATCATTTTTATCAAGAGCTTTTGGTGGCTAGGATCTCATTGTTGAGGTTTATATCGGAAATTGAACTCAATGAAAAATCACTTGCAATCCTTACCTCAAAAAAATATTGAAAACCTTATAGTTCATCCCCTTTCCATAAGCGAGTGGTTATCTGAAATGAATAGCTAAGTAAATAACGAGTTGGTGTTTAAAGTGAAAGTTCTTAGTTCAAGTCCTGAAATGAACGGTGACACTAGGATCATGTGATGAGTCCAAAAATAGGGAGACATATGTGTTTTTGATTCCACTCCTAGCCATTAATCAACTCTGTATGAACATTACCTTATTTTCATATGAGAATCATGAATAGTTTCATGTACTATATGGATATATTTATCTCAGCTATGATGTGCTCCACTATATGTGATAGTTTTATGTGCTGGAGCCATTTATTATAACCGGTCAAATGTACACGCATTCAGAAATAATGAATCCTTAATAACTAAATTTTTAACTGTTATCTTGTAATAAATAATGAATTTACAGAGAAAAGCTATAGTCCTTACTTACTTACTTACTTACTTACTTACTTATTTATTTACGCCCGTAACTCCCAATATAGCATTAGCCGCCGACCAGCATTCTCCAACCCACTCTGTCCTGGGCCTTCCTTTCCAATTCTATCCAATTTTCGTTCATTTTTCTCATGTCTGTCTTCCACTTCTCCTTTGGCCTTTAGGATTCCATGTGAGGACTTGTCCTGTGACGCAGTCGGGTGCTTTCCTCAATATGGGTCCTATTCACTATAGTTCTTAGTTGAATACTATCGTTGGGTTTTCATTCTTTAAATTGGATAGCATAATGATGAATTTGTTATTCTAAATATATACAACAATAGTAGCAGCAAAATTAAACTATCCAGGTCATAAAATGTAACATAACCAAAATGTTTTCAAATTTTTTGTACACATCCTTTATTTGTTTGTTGACTTTAATTTACTTTTATGTAATAAATATTAGATGTACTGCTATTTATTCCCTTATTTTCTTTTATTGTTTATTTCCCTCGTAAAGAGAAATAAATTATTAGACAGAATTTATAAATGGTTTCGTCTAAAATTTAGAAAAGTTTCATCACCAGATCATCATCATCAAAAAAAAAAAGAGAAATTTGAAAAATATTAACAATTTTGATCAAAAATAAAACAAACACTGATGAGTTCACTTGATATGGTTTACTTAAATCTTCCCATTAATGTCTAGAACTGTAATTGATCAGTCTATTATTGACATATATGCATACTGTGTGTATTGCCTCGATGGTGGCTAGTAGTCGAATACTAATAAATAAATAAAAATGTTTACACTTGAAATTAGTTAAGTTAGTAAAAGTTGAGTGACTTGATTATTAATTTCAAAAGAAAAATAAAGAAGCAAACAAACATTTACTACTCCGGGTATATATTTACGTAACATACTTGAAACATAGAACAATATTAAAATGTATAAACAAATAATGATGAAATGAAGAAAAAAAAGTATGATGACCTGATTGACCTTTTTTTACCCATACATTAATAAATTAATTACTGTCAATAATAATTAAAAATAAATGTTCATTTATGTTTTGCATTACTTCATATATCCTATCTATTTTTCCATTTGTTAATTTATTATATACTTTCATTAAGTAATCACTATAGACATTAGGCTTTATATTAAGTAAGTTGAGTATTACATCATCACATTAGGAACTACGATTCATAGATTGTTTTTATTTATAATTTCCACATGGTTTAATTATTAATTCATGTAAAAATGATGCACATATATATTTATAAATATATGCATGAACACAGACTCTATAAATTGTGCATATACGTGAACTGGTTAACTGAATTAACTAACTAACTAACTAACAAGTATGTATTTATGTACATAATAAAAATAATTATGTAAGAGAACATATTTCACCATTAGATGATTCAATAAATTATAAGGTTTATATATGTACACATATTTGTGCACTAAATAAGTGTTTAGATTTTTATTTGCCAATCATTTTCTATATTTCATCACATTATGATTTCCTTCCTATATATTATATTTTATCAGTTAAGACCCCCCTTTTTAAATTTAACTTTGTTATAACATTTGGTTACAGATTTCATATTGTAACAGAATTATATAATTTTTTTGAATAAATAATAAATACTGACTTATATAAAACAAAATCTTTGATATAGTTAAACACTTAATCATTTGATAATAATGGGTTATTATGAATATTTCAGTTAAAAAGGAAAAGAAAAGAGAAGAAAACACACACATTCACAATCCATATAAAAAGTTTAAATAACAAGTTTTCTTTTGTGAAGATTATTATTTACTTTGATTTATTGACAACAACAACACCAACAACGGCAACAGCAAAATTTATTCTCTACAATGAATAAAGTAGATAAATATTATGGATTTTATAATGAATTATTGAAATCTTCAATATTATTCATTATTTTATGTTTATTTCAAGGACAAAATTTCAAAGTGAGTACATTTTTTTGAAAAGAAAAAGTTTCGAGGTTATTTTTCTTCTTGTACAAAAGTGTAAAAGCGTGTATACTAACGTTTATTTAAGTCTTCGTCATACGACAATTCAAACCCCCTCTGTGTGTTCAGAAAGACTTTAATCTTATCTTAAACCTACTCTGGTAATATTAACTTATTAATCAGAGTGATGAGGTTTCAAATTGCTTTCACATTATCTCTTTATCCTTGTCTCCTCTTCTCCCCTTCATTTCTAGTCTAGTTGACTTTTTATATTTTATATAAATGTTCTTAACAAGTATATTATGTGTGATCAGATTGTTTGAAATGTATTGCACTAATATATCACATAGTTCTGATAATCTTCATCTTATTACACTATCGAAAGATTTGTTTCATTTCAAATACCACTAAACTTCACAACACCAACAAAGTCAAGTTAAGATCAATCTTATAACCTATTTCAATTGTGAGCTTGGCAACAGAGGATGATGAATGTTTATCCTCTACTCTTGTTCGGAAATTTGATTCTACTTGTTTTTGCAGCAATTTTGGTACATGATTACACACCCTAATTTTGAGATCACGATTACTCCTCCCTATGTATGTGTGACGCAATCGTTTTCTTGTCTTTTCTATAGAGTGAAATCATTGAACATCATACTTTTAAAGCAATTAGTTCATTTGATAAATTGCTATAGTGTAATAATAAGATGAAGATTATCAGAACTATGTGATATATTAGTGCAATACATTACGAACAATCTGATCACACATAATATACTTATTAAGAACATTTGTATATAATAATATAAAATCTCAACTAGACTAGAAATGGAGAGTAAGAGGAACTAATTGCTTTAAACAAATCTTGTTTTATTTTTCTGGTCATCATAATTGAAGTTCTTCAGAAGAATTGAAAATTCAAATAGATTGTGATTTGTACAAATTGAATTATTCTGAATTAAGCCTTTCCTAATAATAATCAAAGTATACAAAGAACATTGAAATTGAATGTGAACGATCTTAATGACTTATAAACCTAACTTATCATGGAAATTATGATAGAACAAATTAAAAAATGACATACATTTTGATAGTTAGTCATTTACATAGTGAATATCAATAAAATCAGGGTTTATAAGTTATGGAGACGAAAATACATGATTGTTCGACTTACTGATTAGACCGATTATATTGTTTACTATGGTATTATGCTTTGTGTTTCCTCAAGATTGAGAAAAGTCCTAATGACTATCGGGAAGCTTGAAGCTTCGCATTCAACGACAAAAACAATTAGCAGATGTTGACTGCAGTTTACAAGTATGTTTAATTAGTTAGGTTAGTTTCTAAGTTGTAATCGTCAGTTAATTTGTTTAACTGATATCAAAAAGTAAAATATATAACGTTTTTCTATTGTATATCACATGAATGTACTTAATCCAGTCCTATAGACAAAACCTTAATAATAGTTTTCACGTAAACATCTGGAAATATTATTATGCATTATAATATAAAGTGTTAGGTTTCAGAGACTGATCAATTTCAGTCCTAAACATCAATTGAAAGATTTGAACAGCCAACATATGTGTAAAGTTTAAGTTTGGAATTACATTGTGAATTTATAATTTAAGGGAATGATTTCTTTATTTTATTTCTAAACTAAGTAACCGATCTCAATATGATTACGTATACCAGTTTATTGTATTAAAGGACGAGTGATTTTTGTCTGCATACTTGCGTATAGCTGATTATTAAATCACTGACCATAAATTAAAGAAATATTTTAGTTTAAATTAAAACTGTTTTGTTCTATATTAGATATATTTATCTCACTGAAATCATGAACTGATTAATGTTAGACTAGGACGAAACAGTCATCCAGTGCTTTCAGGTCTAACATTGATCAATTCATGATTTCAAATAAATTCAACCATCTCCACAACATCAAATTGAAAATAAATCTATCTATTGTAAAGCAAGATTAGATAGCCAATAACACACTTAATTCTATGAAGTTAAAAAACATTAGTTGTATGTTTATCAAAAGCAAAGGTAGTTTTACTTTAAATACAATACTAAGATTTCAGAACAGACTTTCAGTTCTTATGGTCATGCTAAAAGAGTTTGATTGTATCCTTGGAAAAAAATATTAACTTAAAATCTGTTGGCTCGGTTGTATTAAATAATGTAGTTAATGAACACGTAGAGAGACCATGCATAACTATTTATCAGAATAAAAGTCCAGTTCGATAACTACTCTGAAACAAATAAATCTTCAATTTCATTATAAAGTTTTTTATTATCGTTTCAATGAGTCTTTTACATTGAAAATGCTGGTGATATGAGAAATTTATTAGGTTTTGTAGGATAGAATTAAAGTATTTTTATTTAATTTTATTGATGGGTTAAAGGTGTCTTATCGATCAAGTCAAGATTATTCAATGGACTAATATATAAGTGATGTATGAATTACTCATAAGTTATCTGATATTATGTCTAGCATATAGTTATTTCATTTGCTATACAAGTTTTAGGCTTTGCTCAACACAAAAATCTTGTTGGCCACGTTGAATACTGGAAAAGAATAAATGGAATATTATACAGACGGATATATTATTTTAAAGTTACAGATAAATCTGACAGGTAAATGCTAACGTGATACGGGATAGTACCATAATTGGCAGCAAGCGTTTGATGTTGAATGTGATGTTGCATTAACATCTTCAACATTGGCATAACACTATTATACATAAACCTCTGTTAACCTAAAACACTACAAGCTTATACAAGTTCATGAAATAAACAAAATGTTTTTATCAAATCCATTTATGAAAAAAACATTCATTTCAGAATAGATAACCTACGTAAAATGTCTGTTATAATGACTGAAGGAATCTATTTCTTGTTTATAAAAATAATATATTTAAACATCTTTTTAGTTTTCACTGATGTTTTAAATTAACATTACAGCGTTCAATATACCAGCTGCTTTGAAATAATATTTCCCATAGTAGTAACATATACAACACAAATGTTAAAATGGGATAGTTTTATTGTTTAATTATATTTAATTAGTTATTTTTATAGTTAAAAGAATACATAATAAAGGTTCACCATAATTTACAATGAATTGAACTGTGCATCTTTATACTATAATGCATAGGTTCGTTTGTATAAGAAGTTTAATAAAGATAATAACATATAAATAAAGTTCTTGGTATTAAAAGTCAAAGTGAACTATTCTCTGAGGTGGAATTCAACTAATACAAAAGTTTACTTGGAGTTTAACAGTTTAGTAATGTTATAGTATTTTATAGATTACAATCATTACTTTTTAAATAACACAAACCACTACATTTGTACATCATTTTCAACTTCTTCTTTGAAGATGGTTGTTTTACAATTTTCTTTTCCTTTTCAATAGCTCTGATTTTCTCTTATATTTTTCTTCAATCAATAAGATAATTAACATAAAAAAGGAATTCTCAATCTTTCATTGATTCATACTTTATTAATTGGTATAATGTTGTTTATCTAAAGGAGGGTGAGGTATTATTCCACTTGACTAAATTTAACAAAATAATGTACAGTATATATATATATATATATATATATATATATATATATATATATACCCGGTCTGGACCAGGTTAATCTGCGGCTTTTTCATATGCCAGCTCATTGGTCTAGAGTTTAGGCTCCCGCTCGCGAGACCGGAGTCTCTGGGTTCGAATCCCGTGAGCGGGATCGCGGATGAGCACTACTAAGTTTAGTCTATAGTATTTTGATCTATAGAAGTGATGTACATTTCATAGATCGCGCGGATGCATATGCTTACAATACAATTTGGAATTTTCAAAGCTTTAATGATCATCTTATTCATTTCTAAAAAAATATGAATGAACGTTGACAAAACTTAAATCTGGTTATTTTGCAAGCATACTTCATGAATAAATAAAAACGCATATGTTTATTTATGCATGTTAGACAGTTGGAGGCTGACGATTTATCGAGCTTAGTAGTCGCGTCACAAGTTTGATGAATAAAACTTCATCATAATTTAAGGCTGGATAACTTAGAACTCTTGCTTAATTCATATCTCGGTATTTATGCTAAAGGAAAGTGTAGATTTAAACCTTTCATTACTTTAACTTTTATCCTTCTTAACTTAATAATTTTTTGATAACCAAGAAAGCTTATGAAGCTGCATACTCCTTATTTTTACCAAGCAAATTCAGTTATTGATTAAACATCAGAACTCTAACTTATATTACTATAATTGATTTGAAAATCACTGCTTAAATCGTGTACACTTAGTCTGACTTGGATTCTTATGTTTGTATAAATGACTGATAATTTTTTTATTCGTTCGCCTTTTATCATATGAGCTAAGAAAAATATCGCTGACAAGTACCAACACACTGTTTTCATCTAAGCTATTTCCCAGTAATGTATTGATAATTTAATTTTAAAATAAGTGAAAACAATATGTATATTCATTTTAGTGAATGAATATTCATCTGTTTACAAACGATTTGTCAGTTATATTGAGTTTGAATATATAATAGCTATTTACATAACAATGAGTCATAATATGATGCATATAAATGATGTACAAAGCTACTTATTGAATAATACTACTCATTATCATTACACTTACATTCTCTTTTTGTTTCTAAGCTTCATTCAAATACATCATGCAGATTTAGCAACTGTATCTGGACTGTACATTCTAAGATAGTATCGATTATAAGATTTAATTAATGAAGGAGTACATATATTTAGCTAATTGATTATAGTTCAACTATGAGTATCTAAGACTTTCTTATTCAAATTAACTTTAGATAAGTCTTAAAGTGTAATTTCATACTTAATGTATTCAAAGCAATGCATGTTTCTATGCTACAAACATCTGTTATTTAGTAGTGGATTTCTTGGTTATTATAATTTAGTCGATAAGGCTATCTATAGAATTACATATAGTGCAGTATTAAGCATATCAACAAAGTTTATTATGGTCATCTATGAATGCCGTTGACAGTACATTTCAATATCTTCAGAACTATTTAAGATCATTAAAGGGACTCACTGCTTGAAAGGAAAACACTAGATATTTAAAACAGAGTCCATAAATGAGTTTTGACTATTCTACGCTTACAAACAGAATAAAATAAACTTAAAAAGCGGTAATTATATTCCATGAATAAAATGTTAGTATAAAATAAAATGTTGTCACGAGTTTATACATCAGTTTTTCAATGTTCAATAAGCGTATGCTGTTAGCAGTTTCGGACATTTCTGTTCACTCAAAGAGTAAGTGTTACATATAAGTGTAACTTTCACAGTAGATTTCTCTTCAAGCATCTGAAGTTATACAAGTTTACCTGTCATGAACGCTGTAGTGCATTTCAAAATGATGGATAAAAGACATATTAAATATACGAAATTCTATCTACATACTATAATAAGTAGATATTTATTATTGAAATCGCTCCAATAATATCACTACCTTGAGACTAAAATGACTTGATCATCATCTTGAAAGATATTCTATCTTAAATTGTATAAAAGGATAATTAGTATCCTATTGAAATGTGTTCTTTTATCTGATTTATTCATAGACGGTCACTTATGACGTTTGACCTGTCGAAATATATGTATATGAGACAAAAGACAGATTCAGGAGAAATTTCTGTTTACTTAAGTGAACGATGAATAAATATTTATGGGTATTTAAAATGTCTCAGAGAGTTGGTTTGTAGTTGGTTACCATGATTAGGGTAATAATTTAGTTACTCAATAAAGTATGTTCACATTTTCGTATGATTTAACAAGGAATCTGAATAAAATTTGTTTAATTATCTGAAACAATATTATTTTCCTTATGTTTTAAGACAGTTTTTTCTGATGAGTTAACATGGAACTAGATTACTTATATAAATAGTCTACAGAACAGAGGCAGTTCACTTTTATAATGTTGACTAAAGTTTGTTAGTTAAGTTATATATAATGAGAGACCTGTTCTTAGTTTTTTCTTCGTTATTTATGATTTTTCCTTATCAGGCACTGGAATTTCATTTGTTTGGATATAACTTAAAAACTGAACATATGTAGAATATAGTTTACTTGTACTAGTTTGCTATTAGTTAGTGGCTTCAAAATACAAAATTTGGTACAATATAACTAGCCAGTTCAATATTATGAACTAAATAAAAAAATAAAACGCCAAAATTCGATTGTAAGTACCCACGTACTTCTACAAAAACAACTTGCATTCTAACTTGAAACAAATACTGTTATTTATGCTTTTTTGAGAATTCGATACATTTAAATCTAACGACACTCATTCGATTATTTCGAGGTTATTAAGTGCTTGAAATTATATTTACGATCCATCTTATTTTGCCATCGTTTTAGACACAAAAGGTGTAGCAGTGGCTTCATCAGTTTCTCTTATTGTAATAAATTTGCTCATGCATCCCTTAGAAACTTGTGCGAACATGTTATATGCAATTCTACATAAAGTTTAGTTACGGTAGGCAGATAAAAATTTTGTCATTTTCAAGCGAGGTGATTTGCAATAAATATTTATATGTGAAAATAGTTTATTGACTTGCATTAAACTAACCAAGGAAATAGAATTTGTTGACCACAAACTAGCTTTCTACGATTGTTGAATTGAACGAAGGCATAACAATAAGATAACGATTGGTGTACTCCTGAAAGCAAAATTCAGGGAATATTCAGATTATGGATCGATACATGCATGTTTTGTGAAGGTCACAGCTGTGAAAAATTTAATTAGTAGGAGCTGTAATCTCGTTACAGTGTAAGAAGACCAACAGATTGAATTAAATTTAATTCTGTCTACATTTAGGGCAAAACCTATACTACAGAGTTTTTTAAAGAAGAACGTCAAAGATAAAAACATACTAAATTGGAGTGTAAACTGAGAGAATTGAAGAACACGGTCGTCATCAAATTCGATGCAAAAACGTGGAAGAAAATCAACAGAATTCCAAATAAATATAATATATATTTCCTGACTAGTGATATCATAAGATCAACTTTAGTTAAATTGAAGTATAGATTATAAAAGAAAGAGAAGCAGGATGTTGTCTATGAGAATAAATGTCATGAATGCACTGCGATTTATGTGCAAAGAATATCTAGACAGCTGAACGTGAGGTTGAAAGGACACGAATATTGTTTGAAAGATGTTCTTTAATCGTAGGGTAAATTCAAGAATAGCACTATATTTGTCAGAAGCAAGATACATGGCACAAGGCTTGTCTTGTGACGCAGTTGGGTGTTTTCCTTAATGTGTATCCTATCCACTTCTAGCGCTTCTTGCTGATTTTCTCTTCCTCTGGGATCTGGTTTGTTCTTTCCCACAGTAGGTTGTTGCTGATAGTGTCTGGCCAACGGATCCGAAGTATTTTTCGTAAACAGCTGTTAATAAACACCCATACAGTAGAACCGTCTTAACACTTGTATTGAAAATTCTGACTTAGGTGTTGGTTGCCAATTGTTTTGAGTTCCATAGAGGGACTAAAATAATTCAGAAAGGATCTTATGCGTACAAAGAAAAATTGAGAGCAGATGGGCTACATATGAGTTAATCAGAACTGATTTGTCAGAAAAGAGGGGATACAGTTAGCTATTCCTTAGGAAATACTTATTAGCAAATAATTCGAATCTTATCATTGCACGTAGATTTATCCATATAACAAAAGCTCATTAAAATATTTAAAAATCATAACTATGTATACAACATTTCTCAATATACATACATTTCTACATTTTAAAACTTTTCAATTTGTACTATTATTTATTTTTTAAATAAACAAAATGATTAACAAAGATGGATAGCAGCTAGCAGTGGAATCCAGGACGCACGTTTTGTACTCGTCAGCTGGATGTACCTGCATCCCAAAGTTGATGTTCACTCTGAGACTCGAACCCATTACCCTTCGCTTCCAACACCATCTAGTTATCCACTTAGCTACTGAGTCCTGATAGCCATTTGCTTGTGAAATTGAGTGAAGTTTAAATTCACTTGGTGTTGTTTTCCTGGTATCTTCCCATTGTTATTTAGGACTGCAATTGATCAGTCTCTTCTTGGCGTATGTGCATCCTGTGCAGATTGCTTCGATATAGCCTTAAGTCACAAGCTTTTTAAGCTTAGTAGTAGACTGACGTTGAATTTTTATCTTTTTTATAATCATGCTTTAACGAAAACTAGCATAAAAGTACCCATACACATATGTTCTTATTCACATTGCAAACTTTTCACATTATCCACATCTTATTGACTCATCTTTTCCTACTTAATAAAACTAATATCTGAATATGATTAGATAAGCTTTTATTGTAGACTTGACTGTTGAACATAAAATATTCATCGACAATTTTAATTTTGATTATAATCACGAAGGAACGCAGACTGGATTGCCGGATGAAACACTGATTTTATGCAATTCTCGATATTTACAATTAATACATTTTGAACGTTTAGAAAACAAGAGCTTTTATGTCATGTTTAAAATTTTTTATTGTGACTAAAAATAAAATATTAAGTAGACTCATTATTCCTATTATAATTTCTAAAAGGTAATAATTGTTAAAAGTTATTAGGTTTTTTAACAGTTGATTTCATGAGCCGATGTAAGCTAGACAACCATTGGAAATCTGAAAGCATTGGGCGACCGTTTCGTCCTAGTTTTGGACTTCTCATCAGTGCTCATCAACGATCCAGTACGCGTGATTCGGACTCAGGACCTTCGGTCTCGTGCACAAACACTTAACCTCTAGACCACTGAACCGACATTAAGTTTGCCTTATGTAGCTTTTTGTCACAAGTTAACTGTGCACAACCGGTAATTATATAAAAGCTTCATTATCTAGTCATGCTAAGTTTTATTCTTTAGAGTTCGATAACATTAAGATTAACTCTTTTATCCAATTTGAATTTAAATTTTACGCTTTGTATTTCAGATTGTTCAAGGTGATGTCTTGTTTGAATTTAACATAATTCCACATAACTTATCGAATTTTTTACGGCTGTTTTCATGTAAACATTCGGAAGTTTATTCAACAGACCATCGATTTTTTAATAATTCTCTTGATTATGAAAAAGATGATAAATTACTTTCGCCGTTTTTAGACAGCTGTATTTCTGTTAAAGTGAGTTAAGATAAGTATAACATGCTTTATAACTAAAGAATTATAACTTACTTACTTACTTACGCCTGTCACTCCTCTTGAAGGAGCATAGGAAGCTCACCAGCATTCTGCATCCAACCCTGTCCTGGGCAATCCTTTTCAGCTCCTTCCAGTTCTTATTCATCCCTTTCATATCCGCTTCTATTTCCCGACCTACTGTGCTCTTTGGCCTTCCTCTTTTCCGCTTCCCTTCAGGATTCCAAGTTAGCGCTTGCCTCGTAATGCGGTTTGATGATTTCCTCAATGTATGTCCTATCCATTTCCATCGTCTTTTCCTAATTTCCTCTTCCGCTGGAAGTTGGTTTGTTCTCTCCTACAGAAAGCTGTTGCTGATGGTATCCGGCCAATGGATGTTGAGTATCTTGCGTAGACAGCTATTGATTCAGCTCCGTACAGTAGAACTGTTTTGACGTTGGTATTGAAGATTTTGACTTTGTTGTTGATTGACAGACAGTTGTTTTGAGTTCCATTTTTGTTCTTTAATTGCAGGGATGCGGCCCTTGCTTTGCGAATCCTCGCCTTTACGTCTGCATCCGAACCTCCTTGTTTATCGACGATACTTCCCAGGTACGTGAAGGATTCTACATCTTCCAGAGTTTCGCCATCAAGAGTGATTGGATTGTTGTTCTCCGTTGTAAATTTGAGAACCTTGGTTTTCCCCTTGACGTAATTATTACTACAAATAAAATGATCTATTCATTTAGTCAAGCTTTTAGTTCAAAATTATTAAATATTGAAGCTATGAAATAAAACACATACTCTAGTAGTTAGGGATTTTAAACTTTTAAATGAGAAAAATTATGGTCTCTTGATGCTTACAGATTATATTAAAAGTACAGATATGCAGTTGAGATTTCATTAAATATGAATAATCTTCAGTACTAAAATTGAAGTGATGAACATTTAAATAATAAACATATTCATTTTACTAGTACAGTTTCGACATTTTAATTGTTATATTTTTAAGGTGACAAGATAGTTGAAGATTACAATCTTCTTTTAGCCAGTAATTCTTCTCATGTGATATTTATCAGAGATCTGTAGAAAAAATCAATGATAATTTGTAAAAACTAATGATATCTAAGGTTAAGCAAAGATGGATAGTGGTTAGCAGTGGGATCCAGGACGGGCGTTTCGTCCTGTTTGGGACTGGTCAGCTGGATGTACCTGTATCCCAGAGTTGATGTTCACTCTGAGACTCGAACCCATTACCCTTTGCTTCCAACGCCATCACGTTATTCACTTAAGCCTTAAGTGACTTAAGGCTATATCGAGGCAATCTGCACAGGATGCACATACGCCAAGAAGAGACTGATCAATTGCAGTCCTAAATAACAATGAGAAGATACCAGGAAAACAACACCAAGTGGATATCTATAGTTGTTTAGTAAATTAGTAAGATATAATTGAATTTTGTAATAAAGCGAACTGATCGAACGATATTGAAGATGAAATATTTTTCTTTTGAATTGTTTTACTCAACAATAAGCAGATTTAGGGAAATATGCTCTATCCAACGTATTATCCATCACAATTTGTCAATCATATAGGGTATTACTTTTCTTGTGATATTACATCTTATCCTTTATACTAAACGGCATGAACTAGTTTATTAATGACAAACGTTTTGAAGTGTTTCAAAGTATTATCTGTGTTTTTCGAGATCTTGATGTTTATTGACTAGATCAAGTTTCTGATTTAACGGGCTAGACTTCTTGTATAAAATGGATTCGATAAACATTTTCGATGGACTCATGTTTATTATCGTTCTTCTCTTTTTTAAGTTTAAGAATAAGTGGATTTCAATGGTGTTAAACAAGCTCTTAAAGCGTATTTCTAATTCAACAGTTAAGTCGATAAACTTGGTCAATCAATCGATTGATAAATAAACAGCATTTCAATCACATTTTTAACGATTATTTTAATAAAGGAAATAATAAAAATGGAGATGTAACTAAAGAAGTTTTATGAAAAATCATTCATCAGCAATAATATCGAAAAAAACGTTTGGGGGCAAAGACTATCAATCACGGATCTCTAAGCAAACCTAGGTATGCTCCCCTTCACAGGTATTTCCGAGAGCTTTTCATCGCCTTGATGTCTCCTGATCGCCAAGGCCGGGTGTTATTTGGTTTGTCTTGTTTTTCTCTTCCTTGAGGATCGCCAGTCAGGTCTTACTTTGTGATGCAGTTTGATGATTTCCACAAAGAGTGACCTGTTTACCTTCAGCACCCTTTCCTAATTTCCTCCTTAACAGAAAGCTTGTTTGTTCTATCCCAAAGCAAATTGTTATTGACGGTATCTGATCAATGGATCCAGTGTATCTGGTGTAGACATATGTTCTTATCTACCTGTATCTTTTTATGATGGTTGTAGTTCTCCAAGTTTCAGCTCTGCATAATAGAACTGTCTTAGTGTTGGTATCGAAAATCCTGACGTTGGCTTTGGTTAAGCTGTCTTGAGTCCCATATATTCTTCATTTGTAGGAATGGTACCCTTGCTTTTCCATTCTATGTCTTCATATGTACATTGAACCCCCTTGTTTATCAATGGCACTATCTAGGTATGTAAAAGCTTTGACCTCTTGCAGACCTTTGCCACCAGGTGTGATTCGGTCGTTGTTCATTTTGTTGTAAATCAGGATCTTACGTTTCACCTTAATAGTTAACATCTTTAAAGAATCATTGCGGCTAACTCCTTTTTTTAACTTAGTGCCTTGGAAATTCTATTTCAAAGTTTGAACCATGAAACAATTCACCTGAGCAAAAACTTTCCAAAATCACTTTTTATCAATCCTGTCCTTAACTCACAAAAATATGGTGTCCGGAATTGGTCATTTTCACTAATCGATAAACAATAAAAGTTGTTACAAAAATTTATGTTAAAGTAACAGAAAACTCTGGCATAAACCATCAGAGAAAATAATAGGTAATAAGAGGAATTAGCAAAAACAATTAAATGCTCACGTGAAAAGCATAAAATTGGTTTACTATTAAAAGTAAGTTACAAGTAAACAAAATGATTAATAACATTGTTGGAAAAAAGTTTGGAGACTGCTAACACTGTTGTTTCTTGGATAAAGTTATATGCATGTAAATAATTTACATTTTAAAGATTATTATCAGAAAAAGGATTTTTGTGGATATTATAGTAATTTAATAGTTAAGTTCATGAGTCAATTGAAGCTAGACCACCACGGAAAACTAGGAAGCACTGGACGGCCGTTCCGTCTCAGTGTGGAACTCCTTAACAGTGCTCATCTACAATCCTACCCCATGGTGTTCGAACCTAGGACCTATCGGTCACACGCGCGAGTGCCTAATCCCTAGATTCTTGGTATTTGATAGATTTATTTTTATCTTAAAGATAAATATTTACCAAGGGTTAGTACAAACTTGAATCCAATATCCAATATAATTAATATTATTCAAAACAACTATTTAGAAGAAATAAAAATATGCAAACACTATTCACAAATATTTGATTTCTTCTATTATAGATTTGTTTGTTACCATTTTCTGATTTGTGGAGCTTTAATGATTTTAAATATTGCAAATACAGTGTCACAGCTGAAACACTATCGAAATTAAATTTTCTCGGTAATAACACCAGAAACAACATATCAATAGTGTATAAAGATGTCTGGCCTGTAAGTTCATTTGCTGCTGCTTGATAAATAAAAATATATATCTTCTTTTGGGTATCTTAGTGAACACGATAATATTCGGTCAAACATGTGCAATCAACCACTGTACTGATGGTTAACTTGACAAATTGAATACTAAAAATGGATATATATATATATATATATATATATATATATATATATATATATATATATATATATATATAATGCAACAAACATGATGTTGATTCATCGTTTAGTCGCACCCGGATGTAAGCGTTTGAAGGCTTGCAAATTTTTATAATTTAACAACTTTACGTTTGTTTTCAATTAGCTCCTAATAAAGAACAAATATGAAATTACACTTTGTTCAAACAAATTGTTTTTAAAGTTTGTAAACGTAATGATAATCCAATTCTTGTACAGAAAATATTATTAATTAGACCTAGAGTAATGTTTTCTCTAGAAATGAAAACAAGCATATTTCATACTGTTTGTGCCTTCTAAAGAATGCTGAAAACTAATGAATAATAAATAATTGTCATTTTATTTGGGTAAATAATTTAGATCAGTTTTTTTTATTATTAAGCTTTGGCAAATTATACAATAATGACAGATTAATTCTCAACTAATACAGATGGACTTGTATTGTGATCATAAATACGTTGTTTTGTAATTATAAAATCTTAAAATTTTGATCTAAATTTTCGAAAAATCTTCGACATGAGAAAGAATGTGATTTGAATGAAAATTACCACACTTAAATGCACTAGAACGGCCGAGGGTGGAGAGAGTCCACTCTCCCTCTTGAAGTGCTCCTAAACGGCCACGCGCAAACAGTCACTGCCGGGTAAATCCTACTCACTACATTCTTGCGGCGGGGGTGTGGTTTACGAAATTGAAGGGACTAAAAGCAAATATCAGGTGCTTTAACCGGGTTGGTGAACATGGAGAGTCCACCTACGGGAGTTGGAAAACATTGATTCCGAACAGATGGTGCACGTGAGGTCCAGGGTCGTAAGGGAACAGATAATGTATGAACTAATCGTTGGTCACTGCATTTCATGACGTTGCTCTATTGCTTTGTGAATCAGACCGTTAGATCAAAGTCTCAGGGTGTGGTCCCCTAAGAAAACTACCTGCTTCGGTCTGGGCACCCAGGCAGTATCACAGCCCACACACAAATCAAGTGATTTGTATGGCGTGCATGTATTTGGTTCCGTTCGTACCAATATTTATGTATTCAAATAAATAAATAAAATATAAAAGATGGAGAATCAAGAATGAATGTTATCCATTAAGAAATCATAACTGTTATATAATCAAAAATTTATTTATTAGCACTATACTATTATTGTCCTGATTATCATAATTATGTTATCAGATGATATTTGAATAATTTAATGTTGAATATTTCATTTACAGGTAGATATTTTACTGGTTATTCAATTTAAAATGTGTTGTATGCTGAATACAAATTCACGTAGGTTTATCAATATTTATAATAAAATTCAAAAAATATTCACAATAATTATGAAGTCCTTATTGTTAAACTCCTTTATAAATAAATAAAAGTTGAAATTGAACAAAAAAATGAACATATTTTTTGGATTTAAATTCTTTTTGAGTTACCGCAATGTAGTATGTCTTTTATTCATACACTCTCAGCTGAGATAAATAGAGATATTGTTAATGGTCTAAATTTGTGGCCCAATTTAGTTACTATGCGGATTATTATCACTTGACTAACTTGATCAAACCGAGAGAAAATGGGACAGCATAGAATGCTGCATTGCGTATTTATAAATGACAAGATGAACGTACAAATGGATATATAGACGGTGAATTTAATAGTTTGAATAAGTGACGCACTCAATATAATTTATATTTGCTTACGTCTTACGTCTTGTGGTTTTTGTAGGTTCTCTCATTACATCGGAAATTAAGGATCATATTCCCACGAGTGTACCACATAGCTTCCTTCTTAATTTTAACGAACAGCTCCGGATACTTATTTGTCAATAATAATTATTTGAATTATGTTGCATAAAACTCATAACATAATAATTTATTGGCGAGTCTTTCCAAAAATACAGTGAAATCTTTCATTTTTTAAATATTATTTTCATTTTAAATTCAAGCACTAAAGTTCCTGAGAAGTTAATGAGTATAATTAACTTTCTTAATTTTACCAACTCAGTTTTCTAGAAAGAACTAATAAGAACCGTTGGATATAGAATGACTATTTTGTCATGTTCTAAGACTCCTTAGATATATTTATCAGCAAACTTACACCAGGTTGTACCTGTGACCTATAAATGCTATAGAAAAAAAAATCACCGAGTTAGAACCCAGTACATTATATTTCAAACCAGGTAATGCTTAAACGTTCCAGACAAATCCAAAATGTTTGTTATCTACGAAAAGAGACGTTCATTTTTTACACTTGAATTGAATTTACACAGTGTAACATATTCGATTCCCAAAACAAAATAAGAAATTTAACAGACAATAACATTTTACCATTCATTTAACCTTCTTACTAATTAATTTAAAATGACAATGTATCTGGGAATACCGCATCTACTTCTGTTTGTATGCTATAGTAGTATCACTAATTATTCTGAAAAAAATATTGTAATTGAGAGCCAAATCAATAAAGCTATACCTTATTGCCAACTTATCTTTTATAATAGATCAATGATTGTTAAATTTTAGAATTATTTTTTTTGTTCAAACCTATCATAATTTAAACTAAGCAGTAAGGTGTTTCCTTCAGACAATCAGCATAACAGCTTTGCTGCCTTCCCACAAGAAGGGGAGGGGTTGGAAAAGGTCAACCCTAAAAATGCACACCTCGCCTTATCCCACGGATGTCCGTCTCCGGCGGTAAGGTTTCAACAAGTACGGAGCTAACACAAAAATTACTCATAAAAAGGTCGTGTGTGACCGACCTCAAGCAGCTGTCCCTTGGGCACTGTGGTCATGCTCTCAGGTCACTATGACCACCTCTAACCCAATTTCCCTTTCAGGTACTTCCAGAAGAACCCTTCCGCTGTGTGGGCAACCGGGAAGTGATAACCGCCCTCATACCGCTAACAACACTCAAGACCACTGTATTCATAATCAATTTATTTATTTTATTTATTTATTTTAACACATAGGTATTGGTACAAGGAGGCACCAAATACATATGCGCCACATGAATCTCAATTGATTTGTGTAAGGGCTGTGATACTGCCCGGGTGCCCAAATCGAAGCAGGTGGTTTTCTTAGGGGGACAAACCCCGAGTCTTCGACCTGAACGTCTGACTCACAAGGCAGTGGAGCATCGTAAGGAGATGCAGTCCCATGGTAGCCGGTGACCAACGATTGGTTCATACGCCATTTGTTCCTTCAGGATACTGGAGCCCATGTGCACGATTGGTTAGGGATCCGGTTAGAGCGCCGGAAATTCGCTTTTCGTTCTCTTATTTTCGTAAACAACAGTAATGCCATGGGAAGGTAGTGAGTAGGACTTCCCTGACAGAGGCTACATGCGCGTGGCCATGTGAGAGCATTTGGAGAGGGAGAGCGGACTCTCCCCACTCTCGGCTGTACCAGGGCATTTGGGGGCATTCATAATCAGCCTTCCTCTTTAATTCCTATTATTCCTCCTACATCGACAATAAACTCCAAGCTTTCTCTTTTGGTTTCCTCCTCAAGTGTTACCATAACCAACGATTCTAGCACGCAAAACACTGTCCCAGGTCTACTGAAACCTCGCTCTAAACTACACGTTGGAGCCTTTAACGTACGCAAACTATGCCAAATCGGTCAGCAGGCTTCCTTGGCTAAAACCCTAGAATCTCGTACCATTGATGTATGCTGTGTCTCTGAAACACGCATACAGGATCCTAGTGTGTTCATTCACTTGATTTCACCTCGGCAAAATGCAGAGCCGACGAGATACACCCTCCGTGTATCTGGCGACCCGATGGCTAGTTCTCGTGGACTGGTAGGTGTAGGCATAGCACTAAGCATGAGGGTGGAACAAGCGCTATTAGAGTGGATCCCCGTTAATAGTCGTCTATGCGCTGTTCGGCTAAACGGCTCCGTAAGAACTAGGAAGGATAGGGACACACGTTGTTGCTTTTTCGTCGTTTCTGCCTACTCTCCCACTGACTGCAGTTCGGATGAAGTGAAAGATGAATTTTACAGAAAACTCTCTGAACTTCTTCAGAAAGCTAAACGTTCAGACATAGTACTCGAAGCAGGCGACTTTAATGCCCAGGTAGGTAGGTTAAAACAGACAGAAAGACATTTAGGTGGGTGTTTTGGTATTCTGGCTCAGCGAACGGATAATAGTGATCGTCTGCTGCAACTGTGCTCAGACAACCGTTTATTTTTAGCAAACACAAATTTTAAGCATAATGAGAGACATCGTCTAACATGGCGACCCCCTGCACCAAACCAACGATGGACTCAAATAGACCATATTACCATCAGTCATCGTTGGAAAGGATTGATAGAAGATTGTCGCTCATTCTGGAGTACCTGCTTGGACTTCGACCATGGCCTAATACGAGCACGCATCTGCTTGCGCCTCACTGGACGCAGAAAAGCCACATCAAAAAGACCCATTAGAACTGAACTGAGTAACGAGAAAAGCAAAAGTGGGTTCCAGGAACAACTGAGGTCAAACTTAAGTTGTCCTGAAAACGAGGCTGACCCAGATGTTGCTTGGAAAGTTTTACAAGCACCTGTGAAAACAGCAGTGAAATGTATTAGTGATTTAAAACAAAGGGTTACAAAGAACCAATGGATTTTTTCAAGGTCTATTGCACTGATGGATTCGCGTAAACTCATCCCATCAGGCTCTGAACATGATGATGAGCGAAAGCAAATCAGATCTAGGTTAAGCAAAAGTCTAATGAATGATCGTGAGCAGTGGTGGGCAACGAAAGCAAAAGAGATAGAAAAGGCGGCGACTGTAATAACACAATACAGCTCTGAAGACTAATAAAAGAAACTGGAATTAATAAGTCAAGTGTAAGTGAGACTCTCGGAAAAAGACGACAATCTTATCTATTCCCAGTCCAGACGGATAGAACCATGGGTGGAGCATCTTAAGGAGCAGTTCAGCTACTCTACAACTGCCAACCATTCGCAGACACCGTGAATGGAGCATTGAAGTAGGTCCTCCAATTCTAGCTGAAGTTCAAAAGGCTATTGTAAATCTGAAACGGGGAAGAGCAGATGGATTGACTCCAGAGGTCTTTAAGGATGGTGGTCCAATTTTAGTGATTCGGTTGACGAATATTTTAGCTGAGATATGGAAGTTGCACGTAATCCCATCTGACTGGTCACAATCACTGATTGTCACAATATGTAAGAAAGGGTCAAAATCATCCTGAGACAACCATAGATGGATTAGTTTGATTAATATGGCATCCAAAATACTGGCCTAAATAATTATCGGTCGCCCAACAAGCACTCGTGAACTGCAAACATGAGAAAACCAGGCTGGCTTCAGACCTGGTCATGGCTGCATCGACCACATATTCACCGTGCGTCAGGTTCTGGAACACAAAAATGCTTATCGGCGTCCGACAATAGTGGTCTTTCTTGAATTAAAAGCAGCATTTCACTCAGTAGACCGCGAGATTCTGTGGCAATGTCTGTCATTGAAGGGTGTACCTCAGAAGTGTATCAACCTTATGAAGGCTCTTCACTCGAACACTACTAGTCGAGTCAGAGCTTATGGCGAACTGTCATCTGCTTTCGCAACCTCAAGTGGCGTCCGCCATGGCTGTCCACTTTCTCCGTCTTTGTTTAACTTCATCATAGATCTACTGATGGAAATAACGCTCTCATCGACTGAATTCTCGAGCATTGATCTCCTACCAGGAGGTCCACTTATTGACTTAGAATACACAGATGATATAGTCCTGTCTGGTGAAGACGCTGATAAAATGCAGTGTCTTGGTGGCACTGAGCGACAATGTGAGGATGTTCGGGATGTGTTTCTCCTCCTCTAAATGCGAGTTGTTGGTTCAGGACTGGTCTGCGTCAACACCTGAACTAAGGATAGGGAGTGAAGTAGTCCAATGAGTTGACAACTTCACTCATCTCGGAAGTCCGATCGGTCACAATAGGTTGGTGTCTGACGAAATCTCACCACAGATTCGAAAAGCTCGTTTGGCTTTTGCCAACTTACGTCACCTATGGCGAAGGCGAGATATCGATTTTTCAATTAAGGGACGATTATACTGCACGGCAGTTCGTTCCGCTTTAATTTACGGCTGCGAAACGTGGCCATTAAGAGTAGAAGATATTCGTAAGTCACTAGTATTTGATCACAGATGTCTTAGAAATATTGCTCGCATCTGCTGGAATCACCGGGTAAGTAATAGTGAGGTTAGATGCAGGGTATTAGAAAATGATGGTAAATCAGTTGATGAGGTTGTGAATCTTGATCGACTGAGTTGATTGGGCCATGTGTTGCATATGTCTGAACACCGATTACCACGATGCGCAAAGCTGATTAGCGTAGGGGATGGTCGGAAGAGAGTTAAGAGGGGACAAACCAAATTGTGGCATCAGTGCTTGAAGTCACTGACTTCTGGTCTGAGCCATGTTGGTAGACTACTTGGTTGGGGTCCACGTGACTATCGTAACCAATGGTTGGAGACTCGGGGGTGACATGACTCAGTATCGATCACAATGGTGTGGGTGTATACACTCCTTGTCTTCCTTTAAACCATGAGATTAAAATCGTTTCATATCTTTCTTTCTACGAACTAATTCTTTCATCCTGTACTATGTCCTTTTATGCAATTTTTCTTTTATAATATTACCACCACTGAATTAACTACTTCTATGAATCTGCTGTCTATTTTGTTGTGTTAAGGAGGTATGGCAACTTGGACCGATGCATATATGTGCCTGGCCCTACGTTGCAGCTGACTGACTGACATACGCTTCACGGTCCAATAATCTGAACATTTCTTATTACGTAAACTTATAATTTTCATAAATATTGTCTCAGTACCTATACTTTTTTTAATCATCGCCTTATTTCTGACTGTGTAACATTGATTTAAGCCTTTATTATTTTTATCAAAACTAGTACACCTGTCATCACACTATCAAATTGTAGTTGTCACTTATTATGTAATTTTTTACATTGTTATCATTGACTCACAAACTACCTTGATTGGTTTAATAATGTCGTATGTTACTGTATATTAGAGTAAAGCCTGGTGAGGATCTAATCGAAAACAATATAGATGTTTGAATGAATATTTTCACAATATTTGGGCGCCGAGTTAATGTGAAACATTAAAGAGGAAGAATGTATTTTAAAATCTCTGCGAAAGAATTTGAAGTAAATCCAACGTTTCGCCTGGCAATCTGGTTTAAGCTTTTTCAAGGAAAAGCTTTTTCTTGAACTGAGATTTTACAATTACATTCTTATTCTTAAATGTCTCATATTAACTAGGCGCTCAAATACTGTGAAACTATTCGATCAAGTTTAGACGAAAGTTCTTATATATTATTCAACAACCACTTTAGGTTTCATTAATTTTTCTCTTACTAATTTCATTACATGATTTTATAGTTATTCCAAAAGGAAAAAAACATTAATTACTGAATATTTTATATTTAAATTCTAGAGACTAATGAAACATATTACATTTTATCATTGAAAGATGTGCATCCATCAAAACAGAAATATTATCAAATATTGAAAAAAATTCATAATACTACTTATTATATTTCTAATTCAAGTAATCGAAATGATGATTTAAGCATTCATTATCAAGTATTATGTAATAATAATTTCTATGGTAATTACTGTGAAATATTTTGTCAAGAACAAAATGGAATTCATGGATATTACAAATGTGATGAACAAACAGGTAATCATGTATGTCAACATGGTTGGAGTGGTAAGACGTGTACCGAAGGTAAGATAATTTAATATAAAAAGTCAAAAATAATATTTTATATAACTAAATTGAACAAACGTTTAATTTTTATGCAAATATACTTAATTGTATTTATGCCTTACTATTTTCTCAAAACTCCAAGGTAAAGAAATTGATCAATTTTAACTTGATGTCAATCAATAAGTTTCTAATTATTTAACTGATGATTTCACTTTAAGATTTGAGTATTAAATTTATTTCAATTTTATGTTTTCTACCAAAGGTCATCCTGAGTGTCATTTAAGTGGAAAATACAGGGAAACATTTTTTATTTTGTTTTGTAAAACTGTTTAGTCACATAATCTTATTGTAATCCAAAGTGTAAAAACAATAGATCATGTAATTAACATTGTTATCATAATAAAAATGATAGTTTTTAACACCGTAGGCAAAATGTCAATATGTTTGTTACTCACTTTAAAAATAATAATAAATTACAAAGAAGTACTATGCATTAGTAACAACTGTATTACATTGACTGGTTCTATAAATTACAATTTGAAACTAGAATGTGTCAAAAGATAAAAATGATTGTTTAAATAAACTCTATTTATTATAAGCAAATATGGATAGTAGTTAGCAATGGAATGCAGGATACGCATTTCGTCCTATTTGGGACTGGTCAGCTGGATTAATCCGAATCTCAGAGTTGATGTTCATTCTGTGACTCAAACCCAGTGATGTAATGTCGAGGTAATACGCACATTATGCACATATGCCAATAAGAGACTGATCAGTTACAGTCCTAAACATCAATGGGAAGATTCAAGCAAAACAATACCAAATGAACCTATTTATTATAATTTGTAACAATTAACTCTTTTTGTCTAATTATATGTAAGAGAAAATGAAATATTTACATGTTATTGTGAAAAGTAAAAATTTATTGGAAATAAAACATTGAAAATATAGTTGTAAAATATAGTGTTTTTGTATCGTAAGTTTCATCTTTCATAAGAAATTGCACTTTTTTATTTTTACATTATCCTAATAGAGTTACGTTAAGAAAAAGTTCATGGTTGAGACCAATTTAGTTATAATCACGATCAGTCATAGTCTGTAATTAGAATACCGATACAACTGATTACATTGATAAGTGGATGAGTTCTAGCAAAATGATCTTTTACTAATTCCTTTGTTACGTAAATAAACAATTTACTTAAATATCGTTTTCATCCAAAAAAATCAACTAATTTTTGAAATGTTTTTTTTATTTTTTTATTTTTTATTTGTAATTTAAGCTATATGTGACTTTGGGTGTCTACATGGAAGATGTATAAAACCGGGTTATTGCCAGTGAGTTTGAATGTGTGCATATATATATATATATATATATATATATATATATATATATATATATATATATATATATATATATATATATATACAAATGTAGCTTTATAGTATTGACTTTACAGCTGATTCGTAAAGTTATCTTGCTAAATTTTATATCTTAATCTTAGAGTTCTACTGTCACTGAATTGTCCACTTGAAAGGTTCATTTATTGAATTTCATCCGGAAATGACCGTATTCATATGATTTAACTAATAAAGTTTTAAAATGTTACTAATCAACTTGATTTGTTCTAACAATATTCTTTTTCAACATGTCTAGTTGTGATAGCGGTTGGTATGGAAAGGATTGCAGTCAATGTCGTGTTTATCCTGGATGTCTTCATGGTGGTTGTGAAGTTGGTAAACGTAACTATACTCTTATTCCTTTCACGTGTGAATGTGATCATGGCTGGGGAGGCATGTTATGTGACAAAGGTAAAGCCATTATATATATAACTTTATTACGAGAATATAAGCTTTTACTAATGCTTTAATCTATAAGGCGAAACACAAGGAAGATGACGGAAAATAACCATTATGATAACCTAGAGATATGGTTAATGTTATACTGTCTCAGGACTGTAAATTTTACTTACAGAAACGTCCAGTTCTTTAATTCCGTACGTTTGTAATCTAAATAAGATTCTGAAATACTCACTGCAATCGTAAATAATTCATGTCTATCTTTAAAACCCTTTTAGTAAAATACGTTTTTTCTAGATGATGCCAAGTTTTAATTCATACAGAACATTTGTCCATCTGTCACAAACTTCCATTACATTCGTTTCTATCCTAGATTGTAATGTGACGATAAACAAAGCCTTATTTTGGGAAACTTGTCGTAGGACTACATCATTGTTCAATACTGACCTGAAATTGTTCCTGCTTTTTAATTTCATGACGTTGATTTCGCTCAAAACTCTCCTTGGTCAAAATATATGTAATCTAACTATTTTATATTGGAAGATATCTAGATTATTGGAATTAGGTAGTAAGTGTGAAAATTAATACAATTACCTCAACCAACGGGAAGTGAAAAATGTTAAGCACACTAGGGAACGAAATACAAATGTCCATGTAATCTATATGCCTTTTAATTAGTATCACAAAATCTTGTGACATATGGTTTAGGCATTCAACAACAGGCAACAAACTCGAAACTCAGCCAGATTAACATTTAATACTAAACACTTACAAATTGTCAGATGGATAGGAGAATATTTTACTTTAACCACCTAACTTTATATGTATTCACCTTCAGTGAATGTCGAGCTTTCTTTGTTTTATGCGATTTAGTAGTGCTTAATCATGAATAAAATATCAGGTCTACTAAGCTTAGAATTTTAATGTTACTTAACTTATATTTTAGACCTACGTTATTGTAGTACTCATATGAATATATGCAATAACAATGGAATATGTGTAAATAATGATGCAAATATTGGTGTACCCTATCAATGTATTTGCCCACCTGGATTTCATGGTGATCATTGTGAAATAATTGATTATGACTGTAGAGTCCATGGATGTAATGAAAATGGAGAATGTATTGTGCATGAAATGGGATCGGTAAGTTAATTTAATATTATTGGTCTTAATTATTAATTAGATGCAATATAATCCATTTGGTTTAACCAAAAACTGTACATTATCAGAGGTTTTTCAGGTTATAATTTCAATCTTTTCAAAAACAGGGTTATTCCAAATATTTTTATCTCTTTAGATCACAGTTACTTTGTTTTTAACGAAATTAGTTCAAACTTACAAAACCCCTTTTTGTTTTTGATGGAGTTTTGTTCTCTGAGCTGGAGAACAAAATCATCCACCTGAGCTACAAATCTTCTCCACCGTTACAAAACCCTGTAAAGTAAGGGTTAATTAGTGAGTTTTTATTTGAATAGCCTTATTAGTTCAGTTAAATTAAGAGATGCCGATTTTCATATTCATTTGATAAAGAAAAATGAATTAAAACGGCACTTGAAAAAAAATAAGCAGAGTAACTGAAGGTTAATTATGTAACGCCAAGTTTTATCACTACTCACTAATTATTTTTTGAACGAATATATGCAAGCTATTTCTTTTTAAATTTCGTATATTGTACACTTGATGAGGTGAATATAATTTGTTATTGTAGTACAACGAACAATTAAATAAGGTATATTGTAGTTAAGGTTAGCGCTAGCAATCAAATTTGAATTTTTTTTTTAATTACCTTCGAAACAGTAAACTTTATAATTTGCTTACTAATTTTTGTGTTTAACCATTTTTAGTAAAATCTTTTAGATTAGTTTAATTTCTTAACAGTTTAACTCAACTATGATAAAAAAAGGTTGGTACTCTCTTTTATAGTTACATAATTGCCATTGTTTATAGATTTAATTAAGCCTATACGTTAAGTGACTACTCGGAAGTATCATGTTGTCTAGACTCTAATTTAGATAAATTTCATTATTCAATTTGCTATGTCATCACCAGTCACGATAAGTTGATGTTATAATGCATTTCGTTTTATATTGGAATCGGTTGACGAAAAAACCCTCAAGATAGACGTTGTACGAGTTGGCACTTGTCAAGATGTATACGTAATTTAGAGGAAATCAATGTCAAGTATCGGATTAACGCCTTTAGTCTTACAACAATGCTTGTCTAAAACATATTTTTGCGGCAAAAATCTTTTTTCGCAGTAACATTAAAGATATATAGATTAAGGCTGAGATCATTGGGTGACGTTTCGTGGTCTCCATTATGTCCTTATGCCTTGTGAATATATCACGTGACTAAATCGCTAATTAGTAAATCGACCAATATGACCTTGGCACTCCACCTGTAGTTCTTCTACAGTTATTGCCGGTCCGAAGCCCGGGTATAGGAGGAGGGTTAAGCATGGGGTTGGCAATCACATCCCGTAGAAAAAAATATTGCTAAAAAACGCCAACCAGATTAAACTATGTCAAACTAATGTCACGTAAACCAGTACGAGCAGCCTAGAGTCAACTCTGAGTTCTTATTGGTTTATCTCGCCTAGCCCTGTCTGTTTGAGTTCAGAACACAATTTCAGCTCCGATTGTATGATTCACGTATTTCAGATATACTTGGTTAATTGATATGATGGAAAGAAAAGTCAAGATTCGGTTGATTTACTCATTATGAGTTTTATTCAACATTACTTCTGTTTTGATTCAATGTAATTATTACTCAATGTAGTATTTATTTTCTTTTCTCGTATGATATTTTATTCTGTATAATATTCGACATTCTTGTATTCAGTTGACATGAACTATGCTCTATATGTGTGATTTGTGATAACTGAGTATTTTTCATGTATGTGATTTCATTCTAATTATTCATCAAAATGGGTGTACAATCAATATATAAATGAGTGTATTTTCGACTAAGGTCATCGTCGTCATCATAGTGTTTTAGGCTAATAAAACTTCGTTTATACCAGTCTTGTGTTCTTACTTTCGTGTTGTGGGAATTGTGGAGGTTCCCTTCGTTCCTAGCATAAGTGGTCAGCGATTCCGACATAACAATCAGCGACGACCAGATACAAAAAGTAGCATTTGATTCGAACACAAGTCATAACATTAATATACAAACAAACGAGACAGCATTATACCATAAAACAGAAAACAACAATTATACAACATCAATCCAAAAGTAGCTGTGATTGTGAGATACTGTAACTAATATATTGGGAATAACTCAACAATAGTAAGTCGTATAATAGTAGTCAATAAGTCAAATGGAAGCTTATAATAAAATGAATATGAATATCTATATAATTTAGTTACTTGATAGTTATCCAATAAGGACATACGTAATAGTATTCCAAAAACTATTTCCGAAAGATACCATTCATCCATTCTTTGTTAGAATATAAAAGTCTAGTATTGGTAATAGAGTTTGTTTTTCAAAGCTTTGAAAGAACTACCAACTTACGCCTGTTACTTCCAATGGAGCATACGCCGCATAGGCCGCTTCTAACTTATTATATCTGAGAAAGTCAAAGTTTAATGAATTTCTTTTCTTTTTCAACCGATAAAATTAGAAACTGGAAAAGGGCACTTACAACAAAAGAAAATGTCTTTACATGCATATAGTTCTGTTCGAAATCAAGTTGGTAGAAAAATCTGTAATAAGTTTTGTTGTTTTTCAATATTTCAGACAACCTGTTACTGTTACCCCGGTCATCATGGAAATCTTTGTCAGTTCAACCAAACAACCTGCGAAGAATTTCCATGTCAGGCAACAGGGTCAATATGTAAAGAACGAGAAATGAGTGATGTGGGATTTCCTTCCAATAACCAACAGTTTGTATGTATCTGTCCTCCAGGATTTGAAGGTTCCAACTGTGAAATTAACATCAATGAATGTTATGAAAAGCCTTGCAAAAATGGTATGTTAAATCCTCTTTAACTGATTTTTCTTTGGTGTGATAAATGATCTGTACTTTACATTTTCGACATGGTATATGATAAATTGGTTTTAAATTTGTTTAACAATTTCCACTACATTAGAAAACAGATATGAAAGAAGAATGCTTACTTACTTACTTACTTACGCCTGTTACTCCCAATGGAGCATAGGCCGCCGACCAGCATTCTCCAACCCACTCTGTCCTGGGCCTTCTTTTCAAGTTCCATCCAATTCTTGTTCATTTTTCTCATATCTATCTCCATTTCTCGGCGTAATGTATTCTTTGGTCTTCCTCTCTTCCTTCGACCTTGAGGGTTCCATATGAGGGCTTGTCTTGTGACGCAGTTCGGTGCTTTCCTCAATGTGTGTCCTATCCACTTCCAGCGCTTCTTCCTGATTTCTTCCTCCACTGGGATCTGATTTGTTCTCTCCCACAGTAGGTTGTTGCTAATAGTGTCCGGCCAACGGATCCGAAGTATTTTGCATAGACAACTGTTAATAAACACCTGTATCTTTTGGACGATGGATTTCGTAGTTCTCCAGGTTTCCGCGCCATACAGTAGAACTGTCTTGACATTTGTATTGAAAATTCTGACTTTGGTGTTGGTTGCTAATTGTTTTGAGTCCCAGATATTCTTCAGTTGTAGATATGCTGCTCTTGCTTTGCCAATCCGTGCCTTCACATCTGCATCAGATCCACCGTGTTCATCGATGATACTGCCCAAATATGTAAAGGTTTTTACATCTTCCAAAGCTTCTCCGTCAATTGTGATTGGATTGGTACATGTTGTGTTGTATCGAAGAATCTTGCTTTTCCCTTTGTGTATATTGAGACCTATTGCTGCTGAGGCTGCAGCTACACTGGTTGTCTTCTCCTGCATTTGTTGTTGTGTGTGCGATAGAAGAGCCAGATCATCTGCGAAGTCTAGATCATCCAACTGGCATCCTAGCTATCCACTGTATCCCGTGCTTCCCTTCAGATGTTGATGTCTTCATGATCCAGTCGATCACCAGGAGAAAGAGAAAGGGTGAGAGTAAGCAACCTTGCCTGACACCGGTCTTTACTTCGAACGACTTTGTCAACTGTCCTCCATGCACGATTTTGCAGTTTAATCCATCATAGGAATTCTGTATGAAATTGACTATCTTCTGAGGCACGCCGTAGTGTCGAAGAAGCTTCCATAGGGTTGTTCTGTCCACGCTATCAAATGCTTTTTCGTAGTCGATGAAGTTGATATAGAGTGATGAATTCCATTCAATTGATTGTTCCACAATGATCCGTAGAGTTGCGATTTGGTCTGTGCACGATCTATCCTTACGGAATCCTGCCTGTTGGTCTGGAAGTTGGGCGTCTACGGAGTCCTTCATCCTGTTTAACAATACCCTGTTGAAGACTTTTCCCGGTATTGAAAGAAGAGTGATTCCCCTGTAGTTGTCACAGTTGCTGAGATCGCCTTTCTTTGGTATTTTGACTAGAAGTCCTTCTTTCCAGTCTTTTGGTACCTGTTCCTCATCCCAGATCTTTTTGAAGAGAGTTTGGAGTATCCTTGCAGTTGCCGCTATGTCTGCTTTCAGTGCCTCTGCTGGAATGCTGTCTAGTCCTGCTGCTTTGCCACTCTTGATTTGTCTGATAGCCATGCTGATTTCTTCAATTGTCGGTGTGTCAACATCAATTGGGAGGTCCGTGAGTGATGCTTCGATGTTGGGTGGGTTCAGTGGGGCTGGTCGATTCAAGAGTTCTTTGAAGTGTTCTACCCACCTGTTTCGTTGTTCTTCAATGTTGGTGATTACCTTGCCTTCCTTGCTTTTCACTGGTCGTTCTGGTTTACGGTGATTTCCAGATAGTTTCTTTGTTGTTTCATACAGTTGTCTCATGTTTCCTTTTCTGGCAGCCTTTTCCGCCGTCATTGCCAAATCTTCCACATATTTACGTTTGTCAGTTCTGATGCTCCTTTTCACTTGCTTGTTTACTTCTGTGTATTCAGCTTGTGCCTTGACTTTTTCTGCTCTTGTTCGACTGGTATTGATTGCTACTTTCTTGTTCCTCCTTTCTTGAATCTTATCTAGTGTATCGACCGTGATCCAATCCTTGTGATGGTGCTTCTTTTGGCCCAGAACCTCATGACATGTTGAAGTGATTGCTTCTTTTATCTCTTTCCAGTTGCTCTCCATAGTAGTTCCTTCTCCATTGAGTAGATCATGAAAGGCTTGGAACTTATTGTTGAGGGTTATCTTGAATTTATTGAGTTTGTCATTATCCCGAAGAAGAGCCGTATTAAATTTTTGTGATATTGTCCTCCCCGTTGTCCAGTGCCTCTTGAGTTTCAATTTCATCTTGGCGACCAGCAAGTGATGATCTGATGCTATATCAGCTCCTCTCTTTGTTCTCACGTCCTCCATCGTCCTCCTGAACTTTTTGTTGATGCAGATATGGTCGATTTGGTTCTGTGTGCTGTGATCCGGTGAAGTCCATGTGGTTTTGTGTATGCGTTTATGTGGGAATATAGTCCCGCCTATGACCAGTTTATTGAAGGCACATAGATTTGCAAATCTCTCACCATTTTCGTTCCTTTCTCCCAGTCCGTGTCGTCCCATGATCTCTTCATATCCGGTGTTGTCAATTCAAACCTTGGCATTTAGGTCTCCCATCAGAATAGTCAGGTCTTTTGTTGGGCACTTCTCGACGATTGACTGCAGCCTATCGTAGAATTGATCTTTAGCGTCTTCATTGTAGTCATTGGTAGGCGCGTAGCATTGGATGACGTTCATTGTAATCCCCGTTTTCTTTGTTTTGAAGGAGGCTTTGATGATCCTTGGTCCATGAGATTCCCATCCTATAAGTGCATTTTGTGCTTGTTTGGACAGCATCAATGCAACTCCTTGTGTATGTGGGGCATTTTCTTGTTCATGTCCGGAGTATAACAGCAGCTCCCCTGAAGCTAGTCGTTGTTGTCCAACTTGCGTCCAATGTGTTTCACTGATCCCAAGCACCTCTAAATTGTATCTCCTCATTTCTGCAGCAATTTAGAAAACTCTCCCAGTCTCCCACATTGTGCGAGCATTCCATGTACCTAAATAAATGGTTGCTCTGGTTGTCAGAAGGGGCATCGGCCTCGTGACTTCCGAAGAAACTCGGCTTTCATCATGAGGCGTCATAATTCTTCTAAACGAAGACCTCCTGACTCCCAGGGCAGAGTTTAAATGGTTTGAATAATTTTTTCTGGTTAGCGTTTTTTTTAGCGAGTTAGTTTTCTACGGGATGGGGTCGCTAACCCCATGCCCAACCCTCCTCCTTTATCCGGGCTTGGGACCGGCAGTAGCCCCCGGAAAGGGACTCCAGGCGGAGTTAAAGAAGAATGCTATATTCAATGAATTCACATCTAATTCTACATTTGTGAGTCTAGTTAAAAAAGAACAGACAAGTTTACGATAAATAAGTTTTTTTTAATGCCAGACTATTAATAGAAATAAACTTGTTACCTTTTACTAAAATGCGATAAAAAGACTAGTATGTAATATAAACTTTATTCAACTCGTGGATCAGCTAAAATTGAGAGATTATTATTATTCAAACTACACCACTTTATTAAGGGTTGCAGAAATAATGATGTAACTAATAACCTGGTCAAATGTTCAGTCGGACATAAGAAAATTCCTCATATATTGATATTAATAAAGTGAGATGTAGTATAATAGGACGGGAGCTAGATAGACAGTTTGTGTAAAACTGACGATTTATGTGTAATGAGTGAATGAACGAATTTAGTTAAGTCATATTTCTACTCCATATTAATGTTTCCAAATATTTTCTATAATATTCATGCTTGTAATTCAAGTAAATTAAGTTCTTCAGTCATGTTACCCAAAATCTAATCGGACATGTAAAAAACGACTTCATATTCTCATTAATAACCTTTATGGAAAGACAGGCTGATTATGCAACAACTGATTGACGTTGAACGAGAAGGAGGTATGATAACTTGTCAGTTTAACAGAGTACATTTAAAGGAAGCCTAAACTAATGATATTAGTTCTACAAATGTCTACAGTGAAGTGGATCAGATTATGATACACTGAAATGATCCTGTCTTCAAACAAAATTATACTGACTTAAAAGAAAGTCGATGATATTCACTTTTATTTGTAAGTGAATGAACTTAATCTTAAACGTTTAGTTAGAAAGTAATGTTACATGGGGTAGTGGTATGAAGTTTTTTCAAAATACATTGGATAGATAATTCTCATTCTAATTTCACTTACCACTAAATATCAGTTAACATTAAGACATAATCCTGATAAATTCAGTATACATAAAGATGTATGTAGAATCATTTTTATGAAATGAATTAATGGAATATATCGAATCTTCAAGTAAATGATTGCACTAGTCCTAAAATTATCCAATATAATTAGTTTGCACCAAGTTAATTTTCGTATTTTGAAGTTATGCAAGTATATATCGGATGCTTTATTTTGCTCTTCATCATTTGAATTCTAGGTGGACTTTGTAAAGATTTTGTGAACGGTTATCAGTGTATATGTCCGTCTGGTTATAATGGAGATAATTGTGAAACTCAGGAATACAGCTGCATTACAAAGAAATGCCCTTATGGTTATGAATGTTTTACAAACAGTACAGTATCATTATGTGTTTCCTCAATTTCTAATAAGCCAACAGCGTTACATTCCTCAAACAATGAAACAAAATCTGGAATATCGTTTGAAGATGTACAGCCAACTCACTCAAAATTTACACAGTTCTCCCATGGTCTTTCAATTGTGATATTTACTTTATTAACTCTATTCATTGTAATTATATTACTTCTTTTAGTGAAATATGTTTTAAAGTTAAATCCATTCAGACAAATCGCTTATTATAATCATGAGTCTGATGTTGAACTAAATTATGTCCGAAATTCAATGAACACAGGAAGCAATTTTGTATTTAATCAATTCAAAGAACTGAAAAACAGCTGCTATTTGAATAGTAACTTGTACATTGACCATGTAAATAAATTGGTAGACATCGAGAAATGAATATCCTCAGAGAAAAAAAACTTACTGTATTAATTAAACACACTCATTCAGATCACATGAACTAGATGAAAATTAATTGGACGTAAAATATTTTATGGAGATAATAAGCCGCTTGTTTATTACTGGATATCATGAGTAACTTGATGCTGGATTGAAATTTACATTAAATTGTAGTTAAAATGTTCGAGAAAAATCTACATTTAAGAAGCATTTAAATTGTATGCTACAGAACAAACAAACTTATTTGGTAGCCATTTTTCAGAGTATTCAACTATTTATCAAGGGTACATAAATTAATTTTCATAACTATTTTAACTTCTTATTTAATTTACATTGATTATGATCCGCTCTTATTATTTATTAATTTACGCAGGTTATATAGGAGGAGTTCATGACCATTCAAAAATAGTTAATTCTGTTATTTCTCTTAAAATTATAGGGCATAATGTACAACACATTATCGAAGATGTAAACCTCATCCATCACGAAGTTTTAATAGTTTTAATACCAGAATGATCCTGATAAAAATAGTATGGTAAAATTAACGATATCGTGATGGGAAAGGGTATTCAAAGCTTCTGACTGACTTGAAGGTTTAAATGTGTTTTATAGTGAGAAATTATTAACAGATATAGCTACAGCGTAAGCGCTAACAACGTGGGAGGAAATGAGATCGACAATTAATTCCATTGTGAGACACTGGGATTAAAGCACATCTAATTTGCTTTAATTGAGGATGTGGTTATCACAATGTTATATGTAATATGCAACACTAGACCAGAATCTGGATTCGTATATGCTCAGTTGATACTCATAATTTCAAATGAGTGTATTTTATTACTCGTTTTACATGTTGCAACCTTACGTCGGAAATCAAGAAATCCATGTTTACAAGTCTTTCCTATTTAGTCGTTCTAGTTCTATATGCATTTTGACGTAGTACATAGCTCAGTATTGAAGTGACTTTTCGATTTGTTCTAGTTACATTTGGTCTTGTCATCTTGTGATCTGTCACAATGCATATGGTTTCTAGATGATGACTGATACCTTATTCCTAGGTGTCACAACCGGTCTTACAGATAAGAAGGTTTAATAAAGTGTGGAGGAGACTAAGTAAAACCAGATATATTGTCGATACACGACAAAGATTTTGTTCACTAAGCAACTTCGATTTTCAACAGTAACATTGACTGGTTGAAAATAATTCACTTATTAGATTAAAAATGACCCCAGTGTAACTAACCTACTGATTATCATAAAGCTTGAGTAAAATAAATATTTGTTTGACGGAATGGTTACTTTTAATTGTATTTTGCAAACGGAATTATTCTTTAGATACAGTGCATGTATGAGAGCGTCAAAAAGAAACCACCCGTTAATACACTGACTCCTTTCAAACTCGCAGTAATTAGAAAGTGCCTACTACCACTTGTAATGAGAGGAGGATGGCCATAAATAGGGTCAGGATCCTCATACTTCTTCAACCATTAGATCAATTTGAAGTAGTGTAATTAGTTTCCTGGAGTTGGCGTGTGAATTTTCAATCCATGAAATCACAAACTACACCTGCAAGATCCGGGAAAGATGTCTTCGAATAAATATGTTCCTTCCTCAATAGAACGTTCCACGAGACTAATAATATGAATGGGTCCAGGTTACAGTATGTCCGAAGTAATTCAACAGTCTACCTCAAACTTAAGGAATCGTTTGGTTCAATAAGACATTTTTCACATCTTCAGAAACTATTGGTGAATATTGATGAAGTTTCGTTGAATTTGCTGTGAAATGTTCATTCATTGTAGATTTTTCCTCCTTTGTCATGAAGGATGATTTGAAGATACTAGATCCACAAGATTCTCATCCTGTAAGCGCTTCTTGGGTTTCTTTTAATCAGACCAGTTCAACTTCTCATATGTGGGAAGTCGTTTTATTTTACATGAACAAATTACAACATCTCTTCAGATTGCTTACCACGGGTTTCAAGTATTTCGAGTATCACTAGGCTGTATCTTCTCTTTTCCGAGGCTAATTGAATAATCTCCACGATCGCCTACACTGTCTGGACACTCCACTTACCAATATACGTTATTGCTGAGGATTTTAGAACTGCCGTCGTAGTTGTGACTTCATAAGAATCTTGGCTTCCGTCATTGAGCGTTGTAACTCTCGAATATGGAAACCTTTCAACACCCGTCTCGGAATTTAAGTGCTTTAAGTGATTTTTACCGATTGGCATTTCTTGTTTCTTTGTTTTCATATAAGGTTAGCAAATCTACGTCTAGCCGTCCTCCTTTACCATGTCATAATATGGAGATTGCAATTTGTAGGGTTCAAATTATTTGAAACTTTGAAAACAAACTTGTAGGGTGAAAAGCTAAGGCGGCTGTTGTCCCCAACTTGGTCCCTCAGTTTTAGAAATTCTGTGGGATTCAGCCTTTAAGTTAAAGGTACCACGGATATTCAGGGTCCGACAATGCTTTAATTTGTAACACCTCTACAATCGAACGGTATCAACCGAGTCGAATCAGAAGTCAGAAACAGAGGAGTTTGAGGATATATTCGGAGGGTATACGTGTATCGAGAATTGTTTGATCAGGGCTGGCTAGTTGTTGCGAGTGGGCCAACCTCGGGAAGGTATTGTTGACAGTGGTAACATCTCTATCAACCAAAATGGGAAGATGTTGTGGCGATAAATCAATCCTCAAAATAAATAGATTTATAAGTTCTCGACATTGATACCAACCTCATTGGACGCATACTAACTGGAGGTACTCGATCACACATTAGCATCAGATCTCTATTTGGTCCACCGTGCAACTCATCACTCGCAACAACTAGCCAGCCCAGATCAAACAATTATCGGTATACGAAATACCCTCCAAATATATCCTCAAACTCCTCCGTTGCTGACCGTTCGATTGTAGAGGTATTACAAACTAAAGCATTGTCAAACCTTGAATAACCGAGGTATCTTTAAATACTCTCTCTGTTCATTTCTCCACCACCTTACTAACTGCTTCGTCGAGGAACATGATTATTATTGAATTATTGGAATTTTTATGAGAATGTACCACTTCAATGTGTTTTTCTAATTACTTTATTAGAATCTGCGAATAATAATACGTTCGATCAAGTGAAGTTACTGCATGTGTCCAGATTATCATTGTTCATTGTACCACAGCCGAAAATTGTTGTAGGTCCAAACGAAATTTCTGTCATGTTCTAGATTTTCGGCCATCGAAAATCACATTTAACCGTGTTGAATACTGTCAAACGTCTCGCTTAGTCATTAGAGCAACTCCTAGTAAACATAAACTCTACTGTTATATGAAAATAGGAAATAAACAACTCACGATTTGCCGTCCGTACAGAAACCTAGATTTCGAGACCACATTTGTGCACTAACAAGTCCCTGTTCTACAAAACCTAGCCAGTAGAAACATAAGTGGGTAATGTGAAAGGCTTTCCATCAAAATCCATGTGTTTTTGATATCACTTTCAACAGAATTTCAATAATAATACTAGTAAATGAGCTGACAATCCATCTATCCTTCTCTGTTTCTGAAAAAGATTCAAAAAAGCAAGTCCACTTTGTAATGTCCTTCGCAACCTACTTCCAACTTCTTTCGAATAAAACCTACGACTTTCTTAAAGTAACCGAAACAGATTCAAAATATTGCAACACCAATCTCTAGATTTTGTTGCCAGGCTTTTTTGTTTGTATATCTGCATAATTTTCAACTGTTATCAATTACTATCAGAATGGATATTCGTAGATATTATGGTAATTTCAATAGTTGAGATCATAGACCAATTGAAGCCAGACCACCATGGAAAACCTGGAAGCATTGGACGACCGTTTCGTCCTATTGCACAACCACGATCTCGCTTTATGAGATCGAAACCCAGGACGAATCGGTTTCACGCGCGAACGCTTAACCTTTCGACTACTGAGCCGGCAACCAACGGTATTAATGTCTAACTTCAACCAATCCACGAAATCGCACCGCCGTACACCATTATGTTCAGTGAGCTGATATCCCACAACAGACCTGGTTGAACTCCACTGGTCACGGCTTCTCACTAGGACTCCAGAAAATGCCTCTTGAAGTCAGTCACTAGTTAGAGGTTTTGTGGAGATTTTAGAAACACGGATTTATCAAACACTAGAAGTTACGGAAAACATACTTCTTTATTTATCTTAAGACGACTTGAATTTTACTTAATTAAATAAATTGGGATTGAAAGATACTCTAGCTAGCAGAATACAACTTTTGTACATCTATAATATGGGGCAGCTTTGGTTTGTTTATTCGTACGGATGATAGGTTACTTATTCTTAGGCGCTCATACCAAAGTCAGGTTATTAATGGAAGCTACTCGTAATATAAGCGTTCTCTCTGACTTTGACATCGGGAAACAACTTGGTCGTGGGAAGTTCGGGACTGTTTTCCTTGCAAGAACAAAGAAGTCACACTTTCCATGTGCAATAAAAGTATGTTTTCCATCTTCACACAAATTCCTCAGGTTATTTTCAAAAAACAGATTGTGAAGAACAAACTAGAACACCAAATAAGACGCGAAATAGAAATCATGTGTCATTTACAGCACCCTCACATTCTTCAACTGTACACATATTTTCATGATCACAAGAGAATTTATCTGGTTCTTGAATATGCTTTTTTAGGACAGATGTATACTGAGCTGCGAAGGCTCGGACGCTTTAGCGAGGCGCGTTCGGCTACAGTAAGTTCCACTTTATCTTAATAATTTCCTAGTACATATACCAGCTGTGTGATGCACTTATGTACTGCCACCGAATGAAAGTAATCCATCGGGATATCAAACCTGAAAACTTACTTCTTGGTTTTCATCAAGAGTTGAAACTGTCGGACTTTGGTTGGGCTGTCCATGCTCCGTCACTCAGGTATGTAATTATGAGTGTATTTACCTCGGTTTATCTGTCGTTTATCGAAAGGTCAATTTACTGAGATGATGCTTTTCTGTACTTTTGATTGTCGACTGAAATAGGAAATTTCGGTGAGACTATAATCTATAGACCTTTAAGCGATGCTGAAGTGACCTTGAGAGTGGATACCTACTGACTAGGACTAAATGAGGGTTGTGAAGCAATTAGAATTCTCATTTACAGTTGATAATTGGGGTGAAAAATTAGATTTAGCGTTTTCATCACAAACTGACATCAGCTATGATGCCAAAACTCTGTTTAGCCAAATGTGTGGGTGAATTTCCTGCCAAAATTCGTGAATCATTATCTTATATCT